AGATTCAAAGAATCTCTAAGGACAGAATTTCAGGCAACAGCTTGGGACATTTTAGGTGACAGCGCCTCTGATAAACCAGGACAAAGTTTGCTGCCAACTCACCAAGCCTAGGCTCATTGCCTGGTTACTGGGCTGACAGAGCTGGGGTGAGGAGTGAGGAAGAATTCCTGAACTCCTGCTTCTTACTTGGGAGTACGCACTCTGGACCATCAGGGTTAAAAATGCCTGGGACGAATGGTCAGTGTTCATTTTGCCTTGAAGTGGGAGAAATTCCTTTCAGCCCCAGAATCTCTGTAAACTCCTAGGAGAAAGGGAAGAGTGGGCACAAGTGGTACCTTTGTTTAGGAGCCTCCTAAAACTAGGATTCTCAGGCCAGAGACTTCTGGCTGCAGGGACACATGTCACACCCAGCCACCCCAATTTCTATCTGCAGACCTCCCAGGACAGAAAGCCCAGTGAGACCGTGTAAGGAGTTTTAGCCTTTCTTGTTTTTTTGGGGGGAGGGGCGGGCAGGGGAGCTTCTTAAAAGGGGGAAAGGGTAAGGGACTGGAGGGTCCTTAATGTGTATTTTCTGCCTAGCTGGTCTGCATTCCCTGGTTTTGGAGGCAGTGTACAGAGCAAGATGGAGTTACTCATGTCAATCAGGGGACTGTGTCAAGCAATGATGCAAGCAGCTAAAGGCATTGCAGCTCTAAGTCCAGTCACCTTAGGTCCTTTCACACCTACAGGGTATAAGACAACTCAATGGCACATACAATGCTACCTTAATATCAAAATCTGAAGTCAACCTACACTACATAACAAAGGAAGAGATCATACCGATATGTCCATTGTAACAATTACGTCCAATACATTTTTACTATCTTTTGGTTAATAAAACCTCAATTATACAAGGAAAATCACCAGCATGGTGGGAAACATTGGGAAGTGATTTTAATGCAAATTTAGTGACACATATTGATCCAGATATGCAGCAATATTTCTTTTCATTGATCCAACCATCAGATGCACAAGGCATGGAAAATACATGGTCAGCACAGCACCATATCTATGAGAATATAACCAGAACTGATTCATCTATACCAGTTTACATAGCTAAAAGAATCACCTTTGACAAATGTGGTGTACTACCCAATAGTTCAGGCCCATGTATTACTGAGAGAGGATGTTGGAATACTACACGGTGTGTATGAGAATTTTCCATTGGAAGCCACAATGGACGCATGACATGCAACACACCACCAAAACTCAAGCCAAATATGTTTGAACCTAATTACTTAACCCTCTGAGAATTGTATACAAACCTATGCCACAGAGATTGGAAATAACCTTCCAAAAGGAACAACTCAATTTGTTCTATTTACAACCCGAATGTAAAATTTATGCCACAGAGCTAGGAACAACCACCCATGAATGGCCCAACCAACCACCCATCGGTAGAGTTAGAAAGCCTACAATCCTGGGTGGGGCTAGGCATTACCTCCAACTTAATTTTCTCTGGAATTCAGAAAGCAGACATCTAGACTCTTAAGCAGGAACTACTTGCATTTAAAAAACATGTGAACTGCTACTAAATCCAGTAGGATGTTTAGGTTCCAAGATCTCCTCAAGCATTCAGAGAACCACATTCCACTGTCTCAACCATGCATGATTATCATGCCCACCAACTGGAATTTAACTATAACATTGACCATAAAGTTCAGGCCCTCCAGCAAAATTTACTTGATCTTAGACATTTCTACATAAGAGAACAACTAAAAAATAATTGCTGCAGAATCAATAACCTACTGGAGAGAGCACAGAATGATATCAGAAGCATTTCGTGTAGCAGGAAAAAGTATTCTTCTGACTGGATGGAGTCTCTCTTACAATTAGACACCTCCAGACCATCAGGTTGTGACAATATAGGACAATGTAAACTTTCATTGTTAAGACTTTTAGGGGGTCAGGGCGCCTGGGTGGCTCAGTCAGTTAAGCATTTGCCTTCGGCCTGGGTCATGATCTCAGGGTCCTGGGATCGAGCCCCGCATCAGGCTCCCTGCTCAGGGGGAGCCTGCTTCTCCCTCTCCCTCTGCCTGCTGCTCTGCCCACTTGTGCGCTCTCTCTCTGTCTCTCTGTCAAATAAATAAATAAAATCTTAAAAAAAAAAAGACTTTTAGGGGGTCAAAGCTTATTAGCATATGATACAGATGCTGTACCACAATAAATACATTATAGTACAGCACTTCTGGCAACACATACACCCTCATGGATTAATGGATATTTACTATCCAAAGAGATGGTATTTCAATGGTCTAATAACATGTATTATACCTGCCATGAATTGGAAATCAATGCTAATCTTTTTCCTTTAACAAGAACATCTATTGAAAATTTACTTTTGGACATGGGACACTTTAACTGGATAACTTGTGGTAATAACTTCTTAGAGGTCACGTTCTTTTTCTTTTATTTAAGGTTTATTTATTTATTTGAGAGAGAGAGAGAGCATGTGAGCAGGGAGAGGGGCAGAGGGAGAGGAAGAGAGAATCCTCAAGCAGACACCCCGCTGAGTGTGTAGGCCGACTGGGGCTCTATCCCAGGACCCTGAGATCATGACCTGAGCTGAAATCAAGAGTCAGCTGCCCAACTGACTGAGCTACCCAGGTGCCCTTCAGAGGTCATGTTCTTTAATCATAGCAGAATGAATGATACTAGCATAACCGTAGACAATGAGTGTGTTAAAATATTGTATGCTATTAGTGTAACATTTAGTAATGTTACCAAAATGGGTACCTTTGTCTCAGAATATTCATATAAAATTTTTTCAACATTTTATACTAATATAACAGAAATACCTTGGGTGAAAATTAACAAAATTGATAAACTTTTAGATGAAAACTTAGAAGGGCTCAAAGCAGCCCATAAAACCTTGACCAACAAGCTAACCCACTTTGAACATGATACAAAGGCCATTCAAGCAGCCTCAGCCATCATTAACACCAACTTAGCTGCATTGAACAAAAATATACAAAACTTATGCAATAAATGTTCCTTTCTAGAGTTGTTAACAAGACCCTTCAAACACATGATTTGTTCTGGCTCATGGTCTGACGATAACCCTTTAAAATATTTAAAGGAATTCTCTCTCTACACGTTTCAGAATCCAATAGGGAAATCCTTCTATTGTTTTTAGCTATTATTTTTGTTATAGTTCTTATTAAACATGCTATTAAAATGTTGTGCTCCCTCAAGCTTAAGTAGGAAAAATTACAAGACTGATTAACCGTACCCTCACCGTTCCTTTCTAGATGTGCCGAGAGCCTATGTTGAAGATTCCATATGTATTTCTGTACTTTTATCTGCCTGTAGTTGGCAATGTGATTCTTATTTCATTTATTTGACTGCTTTGTTGATTTGTGAACTTACCTTAATAAAGTTTAGATTTAGTTTTTCTTCTTTTTGACTTAATTCTTATTAGATGTGACTTTGAGTTGGAGTTTTAAAATTTAATCCTTATTTAATTTTGCTTTATTTGACTTAGTTTAATGTATCTAACTTGTTTGGATTTGATGTGATCTTTGTTTTCTGTCAATTGACATTTCATATGATTTGAGATTTATTTGATTTCATTTGATTCTCATTGAAAACACAATTGAATGATTTGGATTTACCTTCTTCCACGTTAGCAAACTAGTACTGCTGACCCTAGTTTAAGACATATTTGATTCCTGTATGACCCTTAAAGATTTGTCATAAGGAATCATGGGGTAGAATGTAGAGAGCAAGATGGAATCACTCATGTCAAGCAGGGGCCCGTGTCAAGCAGTGATGCAAGCAGCTAAGGGCATTGCAGCTAAGACCAGATATCACTGAGACCAGCACCAGCTTTTGACACATTCAGAAGTGATAACCAATGGAAACAGAGGAGGTCTGCAAAGGCTCAAGACTGATTAAACCCTTTAAAAAAGAGGATATTTGCAGCAAACTGTCAGATTCCTCCGACACTGACCTATGTCTGGTCACTTCAAAAAGGCAGCTGCTGCTGAAGGCTGCCTGATGTCCAAAAAGAACAGAGATCCTTCTTGTTATGTTATGCTTGAACATAATAAGCAGTAAGTGCCAAGAGCTGACCCAGACCGGAGTGAGGCCTTATCTCAACTGCTGGCTCACAGATTTACACCTTTGGCTTGTTAACTTCCTGTCCTCTGTTCTATATTGTTTGTTGTGTGGCTTCTGCTTTGCGTGACCTTTAAGAAGCCAAGTTAAACACGTGGTGAAATGTTACTGCGTTTAGAATACCAAACCTGCTTTATAATTGTTAACCTTGCTCTATGATGAAAAAGCTGACATTGTGGAAAGACACAGCTCATGTGCGAGCCTTCATAGCGAGCTCCTGACAGGCAGCTTCGTGTGTTCCCAGTTTTATTTTTTTAATTTATTTATTTATTTTTTAAGATTTTATTTATTTATTTATTTATTAGAGGGAGAATGAGAGAGAGAGCATGAGAGCGGGGAGGGTCAGAGGGAGAAGCAGACTCCCCGCCGAGCAGGGAGCCCGATGTGGGACTCGATGTGGGACTCGATCCCGGGACTCCAGGATCATGACCTGAGCCGAAGGCAGTCGCCCAACCAACTGAGCCACCCAGGCGCCCCTTGTGTGTTCCCAGTTTTAAAGGTAGGGAGGAACATCTGGCTCCAGCAGAGAAGCGCTTAAGGAGAATGCAATCCTAGGGCCCGGGAAAGCGGGTTTCCCAGGCCCAGGCGACAGAGCATGCGCAGTCCACGGGTTTTCGGCTGTGAAGGGGCCAGGAGGAAGGGAAAGGCTCTTTGGGGTCCTTTAAAGAAACAGCCACACACCTTGGAGTAGCCTCCATATGTTTGGGTTTTAGCCCTGCCAAAGCCAAGTCTTCTTGAAGTCCCGCCTCCTGAAAGCTCCGCCCCAACCTAAGTAACTACGCGCGCGCCAGGGTACCGGGGAAGCCACACCTATTAGAAATCACCCGCCCTTTGGAGGCGGCTGGGCGCGCTCAGCAGACGGGGTTGAGCACGCGGCAGGAGCAGACGCTGCGGAAGAAGCGGCACTGGCAGGAGGCGCAGGGGTCGCAGCAGGCCGGCGCCGGCGACTTGCAACTGTCACGAGTGGCCACGCAGGGGGTGGGCGGCGGGGGCCGGGGCCGGGCCACGTTCTTCATGGAAGCCTCTTTCTGCGGGGAAACGCCGGGGCTGCCCAAGCCGGCCACGCCCACCCCACCAGTCCTCACGTCTGCCTGGGAACTCCTTGGGCAGTGGAGGCCCCAGACCAGACATCCCCACCCGCTGCACCACTGTCCCCTGGACTTCATGTCCACAAGTGGCCCCAGGGGTCCCTGCCTCCCCCAGTCATCCACCCTCTGCGTCCAAACCCATTAACATTTACTTACCTGGATGGGCTTGGCCCACTTTTCTCCCTAGGGGATCCCACTCAGTTCTAGAGTTTTCACCACCTCTGCGTCTTCCCCCTTCCAGTGTATTCCCAAATCTCCTGTCAGTCCTGCCTTCACATTAAATCCGGATCCACCCACTTCTTCACCACCTCGCTACCCTAGGCCAAGCCACTTTCTTTGGTCTGCTGCTCTGGCCCACTTACAGCCCATCCTCCGTTGCACCAAACGGACCTCTCCGAAGACCTATGATGGCAACCACTCTGGCTTAAAGCCCCCAGTGGGTTTTCTTTGAACTTAGAATAAACCATAAACTTCACTTTGGCTCTTGAGGCCCTCAGGTTTGGCCCCGCCCACCTGTATGAGCTGAGCTGTTGTTCCCACACTGCCTTCTTTACGTGCACCAAACGCAGAAAATGAGTTCCTGCCGCACGGCTTTTGAACTGGCTGCCCACTTTCCTGAAACCATTCTTTGCTGTGCTGTTCAATCCACGTAGCCATCAGCCATAGGAGGCTACTGAGTACTTGAAATGTGTCTAGTGCAACTGAAGAACTGAATCTTCAAATTTTATTTAATTTTAATTTACATTTTAAAATAGCAGTGTAAAATTTTTTCTTTAAACAATTTTTTTTTGTTAGCACTACAGTTGACTTTATTAAAAATTAGCATCGGAATTGAGACGTACTGTGAGTGTAAAGATGCACCACCAGGTTTCAGACTTAGCACACACACAAAATAAAATATATCACTTTTTATATTTATATCATTTTATATCAAAATGATAATATTTTGGATATATTGGGTTAAATGAAATATTACTAAAGTTAACTACACGTACTTTTTACTTTTTTTTTAATGTGGCTACTAGGAAATTTAAATTTATATATGTGGCTCACATTGTATTTTTTTATTTTTTTATAAAGATTTTATTTATTTACATGAGAGAAAGAGAGCACAATCAGGGGGGGCAGCAGAGGGAGACAGAGAAGCAAGCTCCCCACTGAGCAGGAAGCCCGGTGTGGGGCTCCATCCCAGGACCCTGGGATCATGACCTGAGCCCAAGGTAGACACTTTAACCCGCTGAGCCACCCAGGTGCTCTTCACATTGTATTTCTATTGGGAGTTGCTGCTTGAGATTACTGAATTTTTCAATACGTAAGTGCTGCTTCCTCAGGGAGGGCTTCTGAGACCACTCTTCACTTTCATTATCATGCTTTAATTCTTTTACAGTGTTTATTATTATCTGAATTTATTTTACCTATTTATTGGCTTACTTGCTCTTTGTCTATTTTCCCCACAAGAATGTAAACTCCATGATAGTGGGGATATATCTCTCTTGTTCACTTCTTTTTTTTTTTTTTTTAATTTTTTTCCAGTTGAGGGAAAGTCAGAATTTTTTTTTTTTTTTTTTTTAAAGATTTTATTTATTTATCAGAGAGAGAGAGAGACAGAGGCAGGCAGAGGGAGAAGCAGGCTTCTTGCTCAGCAAGGAGCCTGATGCGGGACTCGATCCCAGGACCCTGGGATCATGACCTGAGCCGAAGGCAGTCGCTTAACCGACTGAGCCACTCAGGCGTCCCTCTCTTGTTCACTTCTATAATCCCCATACCTAGCATACAAATATATTTGTCAGCTATGTATTCTTATGTCAATCATCTGATCTGCTTGTTTACAGAAGGTCTAGAGAGGAGCAGGGACTTGCTCAAAATCACACAGTGCCAGGTCTAAGACAGGAATAATGTGTGCGTTTCAACAATGCCTCTGTCCAGTATTTCCCACAGTGTGGGAACCTGTGCCATGGTAGTATGATTTTAGGTGGTACATGAGTATTAAATGACATTAAATCACACAGTGAGAAAGGATTCTTTTTTCAGTCTCTTTCAACTTTAAAGGCTCCGTTTGGTGCCGATATATCATTAATGCTTTCCCAACACTTTCCTATTTTCTTTCTTTCTTTCCTCCCTTCCTTCTCTTCCTTTGTTTTCCTTTCCTTCCTTCCTTCTTTCCTCCCTCCCTCCCTTCCTTCCTTCTTTCTTTCTTAAGATTTTATTAATTTATTTGACAGAGAGCGAGAGAGCACAAGTAGGGGAAGTGGGAGAGGGAGAAGCAGGCTCCCCACTGAACAGGGAGGAAGCCCCAGGACATGGGGACTCGGGGATCAGGACCAGGATCAGGACCTGAGCAGAAGGCAGACGCTTAAGCTTAACTGACTGAGCCACCCCGGCGCCCTCTCCCAACACTTTCTAATCTGACTTTTAATACAGAGAACAAGCCTCAGCTTGAGAGCGTTTGGCAGGCGACCCCATCCAGCTAAAATCCACTAATAATGTTTTATTTTCTTTATACTTATTTTTATGGTTACCTTATATTTACGGCAAGTGATACTGACTTTCTATCATAGTTACATATTTTTTAAGTTTTAATTTAATTTTTAAAAAGATTTTATTTATTTATTTGAGAGAGTAAGAGAGCACAAGTGGGGGGAGGGAGAGGAAGAAGAAGACTCCCCACTGAGCAGGGAGCCCTCTCTGGGGCTCCATCCCAGGACTCTGGAATCATGACCTGAGCTGAAAGCAGACACTTAACTGACTGAGCCACCCAGGTGCCCCTTAAGTTTTAATTTAATTTAATTTATTTATTTTTTTACCGACTGAGCCACCCAGGTCCCTTAGGTTTTAATTTTAAACAAATATATTAAGTAAATAAGTGAAACTCGGTTATGGCAAAAATTGTGGGGGGGTGCCTGGCCGGCTCAGTGGAGCACGTGACAATTGATCTCGAGGTTGTGAGTTCAGGCCCCACGCTGGGTGTAGAGATTACTTAAAAATGAAAGCTTTCAAAAAAAAAAAATTGTGGGAAGTGGTTCTGAAATAACTGAGCTTTAGGAAACAGTGCATTCATTCAAAAGAATGAGTGATGGTGATATTTCAGTAAGAGGGCTAGCTCATATAAGATGCTTTTTAGCAAGTAAGCTATTTTGCTTAGTGAACCTTAGCTCTCTGGGCTTCTGTGGGAGTCTGATTCAGGGCTTGAGGCCAGGAAGCCTTTAGACAGCTTTCAGCTTCTTTTGTTCATGTAAGGCTGGAAAATCTTTCATTTAGTTCCCAGCTAGAATTCTCTTTTAAGTCCAGTCCCACCCCCACAATGAGAACTTCCAGTCCTACCTTGGAAGATCTCTTCTTTTCCGCCTCTTTTCTGCTGATCTTTTTGGATTTCTTGTTCAGCACTTCAAAGAGAGACAGAAGGAGCAAAGCCAGATGTTTCTGGAGGTCATGAACTGCAGTAAAGTGGGAGGAATCGGAGGGGCCTCCAGGAAGTCTCAGGGTGGGGGAAAAGAAGGATTGGGTGGATAAATCACAACTTGGGACTTAGGCCAACAGGTTCTTGTTAGCCTGGCTGCTAACCTGGAGCCAGGGACTGAAAGAAAAGTGTCCTCTGAGGGAAGGCAAAGAGGAAATCCAAGAAGGCCCTGAAAAATGGATTCAGTGTCATGTACATGGATGGACCTGTGTTTCCTGTATTCCTAATTTTCATTTCTCAGAGCTGTGGAGCCAGGCACACCTGATTTGAATCCTGACTCTGCCATTTAACAACTGTGTCTCCTTAGGCAACCTACTTAATCTTCTTAAGATCCAGTTTTCTCATTTGTAAATAGGGTACTGTAATATCCACCTTGCAGGGTTGTCTTGAGGATAAAAAAGATATGTTTATAAAGTGAGAAGTCCGGCACATCAAAGGTGATCAAAGGTGAGACTTACTTTCCTGATACATCTAGAATATTCTCTTTTCGTAGTGAGAGTCAAGGCAGTGAGGGACATTAGTTTAGAACTTGGGTTCTGGAATTAAACACCTGGGTTTGAATTCTGGCTCTACCAATTAAGAACTGTGTGATCTCATGTTAGTCACTTAACTTTGCTAAGCCTCAATTTCCTCAACTGTGAAGTAGGAATAAAAAATAGTACTCACTTTACAGTGCCTAGCACACAAGGAGTATATCTGTTACTATTATTTTCATCAGAAGAAGTTGAACTAGAAGATGTTTGATACCAGGCTGTAATGCCCCTGATATTTTCCCCCGAGCGGTCATTCTCAGTTCTCAACCCTGAAAGGACTAGTTCATCCCACACTCGGTTATATTCCGCAGCATTCTCTAACATTTTTGTTATTGACAGTTCTGTGATTCAGTAGGTTTCAGAAATGCTAAGCTAAACCAAATTCACAAGGTGTCTTAACTTCAGGGTTTCTCAGAGCCTCTAACATGTGAAGCTGCATATTAGATTAGTGGTATGCAGGGCTTTTTAAAACCATGAGTCAAGGAATACTTTATTCCTCTAGCATTACTTTGAAGAATAAGCACAAAGGAACTCTGATGTATGTCAATGAATCCTGGGGAGCATGTTTGACATCCTGTAGCCCCCTCTCATGGGCCAGAGTCCAGAGACTAGGCACCAAGACAGGCTACTTACCTACAATAGAGACAGAGGAGAAATCCAACAGGTTCACGGAGGAGTTGCTCCTTAGGCTCCTGTCATCCCTGGGCTTTTCCTCAGGTGCCAGGTGGCTGTAGGCAGTGAGGAAGCACAGGGAGACCAGCAGTGTGGCTAGGAGTAGGCGGAGGATATTCATTCTTGGAGGCCTGAGTGGGACAGAGAAGGCAGTCAGGTTGGTGGGCCAGGGGTCCTGGCAAGAGGATGTGCCCTCTTGCTTTCCTTGTGTTTCTTTGGGCTGGTGCTCTGACCGCGTTTTATAAGTGTCCCAGTGGAGCTGGAGGACCACCAAGGCTTAGGACGGGAAAGGGGAGCTGATGAAGGAAGAAGAGAGAAAAGAAGAGATAGGGAGAGGAAGAGAGACAAGGAAAGGAGGGAGATTGAAGCAAAGAGAAAAGGAATGCATTGCAGTTGGTCTCTGTCACCCAGAGGGTGGGGTGATGGTTTTTTTTTTTTAAAGTCAGTGGTCCCAGAAGACCCTAGGCCTGGGCAGAATTGTTGAATGGTCCCCAGTAGTGCCTTACAGTGGCAGAGGTTTTACTAAGGTGCAGAGGATAAAACTCATAAGACTCTCTGAGAAAGATGCAGTGATAAATGGCGTCTTCAGACAAGTGTATATGTTGTTGCATATGCTGTATTCCCATGCCCAGAGGGAATGATGCAGGTATGGTTTGTGTGAGAAGGATGGACCTGTTGACATAGGCTAACTGCATTTACTGACTTATTGCTAGCTGGATTTTGATGAAGCAGACAGATCCTAGAGTGGATTTCTTCCCATGCATCCTCCGTTTGGCTTAATTAGGGCTCAAAGCTTCACTAACATCTTCACCTTCTCTGAGTGTGGGATCCCCACTCCTTCCTTGCTCTGCGCATTGTTCTCTCCAGTCTGGGAAAAAAGAGGCTGCTTTTCCAAAGTTCTCTTTGCCCTGCCATAAAGCACCGTGGGTGAGAGGAGAATAAAAACAATCTGCTCGGGTGCCTGGGTGGCTCAGTTGGTTAAGCGACTGCCTTCGGCTCAGGTCATGATCCTGGAGTCCCGGGATCGAGCCCCGCATCGGGCTCCCTGCTCGGCGGGGAGTCTGCTTCTCCCTCTGACCCTCCCCCCTTCTTGGGCTCCCTGTCTCACTTTCTCTCTCTCTCAAATAAATAAATAAAATCTTTAAGAAAAAAAAAAGAAAATAGCTTCTTCCCACTTACTCAAGTTTTTCCTGTGTCTCTCAGTAGAGATTATAGGTTTTTCCAAATATATCCTTGTAGTTGCTTAAAGGTATTCCTATTTATTTTATTTTTGTAATTCTTTCTGCTCTGAATGAGATATTTTTATTTTGCCATTATTGTTTTTAAGTTATTGTTGGCTTATACAAACACCATTGATTTTTTAATATTTACTTAGTAACCACAACAATAGAGCTACAACTATTTTAGAACATGTGTCTCATATATCAACTGACCATATTAGCAAAATCATTCTACCCTGTGTATTATGTACATAATTTATATTAATTAGTAAATTTTCTTGGACCATTATGAATATAAATTTGGTATCATCAAGAAGCACAATTAAAAAACAACATCATAAATTGTAAGACAGCGGCATCCAAGAAAGCCACAAAATTTAAGACAAGTGACAGCTTTGCAGTAAAGGAGCAATGTCCTCACTTGGCTTATAGTTTATCAAATTTGAATACCTATGCAGAAAATGATAGTACTAGTAAGACAAGTGCCTTTGGTAATAACAGCTACCATTTATTGAGATTTTACTATGTACCAGCCATTAGGATACACATTTTATATTAGTTATTTCAACAACTCTAATAAATAGGTATTATTATTCTCATTTTCCAGATGAGAAAACTGAAGCTCAAAGAACCTGTCCATGGTTATATAGCTAGCTAATGATAAAGAGAGAATTTAAACACAAGTCGTCTGACCAACTCCAAAGTCATGTTTTTGACACTTGATTACTTCCCCTAAAAGGTAGAACACTGTAAATTCATCAACTACACTGGTGATAAGAGTTTAGGATAGTATATACCCGACTCTTACAGATGGTTAAGAACACAGCATACTTCTATTCAGGACCTTAACTTTGTTACATCAAATAGAATGAACACAACCAACCAAGATGGAATAGCTGGTACTGAATTTACCCTGCCCCTGAAACAACTAAAAAATGAAACAAAATATATGAAACAGTGGTTTCATGGACACCAGGTTATAAAAGCCAGTGATCATTGAAAGATGGAAACTAAGCGAAGCTTATAATTGTAATGAATGTAGTTTCCAGCCCATGGTGCAGTGAGGTGAAATCCAGGCAAACTGGCAATTTCCCTGAGTTGTGGAGATAATGCTGCAAGTCTTTAGATGCCACAGCATATAGAGTTTACAGGGCAGAGAATCAGAGAGGAATGAAGAAAGTACCTGAGGCTGGGGAAAGAACCACTTAAAGGATTAGCAGGAAAAAAAATACCAATGATCACACAGGGTTGGGACTAGTACCTATTCCCACCATTCAGGGGGGGAAACCCACATAATTCACAGAGCATCAGGAAGAGTATTCAGAAGGCTTTTGCCTGAACATTGGGGAAAAATAAGTCCTAGACTAAAGGCTGCTCTAGTCCAGTCTAAGAAGGCTTAGATTCAAGACCTTAAAGAATAAGACTGTTTCCAAGTAACTTAACTACATCCCAGAACAAAACTCAAGAATATTACAAGAATATGGGACGCCTGGGTGGCTCAGCCGGTTAAGCGTCTGCCTTCGGCTCAGGTCATGATCCCAGGGTCCTGGGATCGAGCCCCGCATCGGGCTCCCTGCTCCGCAGGAAGCCTGCTTCTCCCTCTCCCACTCCCCCTGCTCGTGTTCCCTCTCTTGCTGTGTCTCTCTCTGTCAAATAAATAAATAAAATCTTAAAAAAAAAAAAAGAATATTACAAGAATATAAAAATATACATCACCCAACAAGATGATGATAGTTGGTTCACAATGTCTGGTCATCCAAAAAAAATTACCACACATTTAAAGAAGCAGAGACTATAACCTATAATTAGGATAAAAATCCATCAATAGAAACCAACCCAGAAATGATACATATGATAGAATTAGTAGCAAGGACATTAAAATAGTTATTTTTACTGTATCTTTATGTAAAGAAGCTAAAGAAAGCAGGTGGACATGTCCAAGTAACTGGACATTTCTAAGGTAAAAATAGATATCCTAGAGGTAAACATTCTTTATATCCACAAACTCTGTCCATTCTTTCTTTAAAATGTTCCCTACTCCTTTCTATTCCGGCTGCCATACCCTAGAGACCCTTATCACCATAATTAGACTCAGACACAGCCTTTTGTTAGTCTGTACGACATCAGTCTTCCTTCTCTCAAATCTTTCCCACCTACTACCCCCTGCCCACCTGCTCAAAAGCCTAAAAGGACTCTTGATATTAACCATATCAAGTCTAAACTCCTGTTTGTTTTCCAGGCCCTTTACAATATATCCTTT